AGCCACACCCCAAACTCAACATTCTACAGAAGCCACACCCCAAACTCAACATTCTACAGAAGCCACACCCCAAACTCAACATTCTACAGAAGCCACACCCCAAACTCAACATTCTACAGAAGCCACACCCCAAACTCAACATTCTACAGAAGCCACACCCCAAACTCAACATTCTACAGAAGCCACACCCCAAACTCAACATTCTACAGAAGCCACACCCCAAACTCAACATTCTACAGAAGCCACACCCCAAACTCAACATTCTACAGAAGCCACACCCCAAACTCAACATTCTACAGAAGCCACACCCCAAACTCAACATTCTACAGAAGCCACACCCCAAACTCAACATTCTACAGAAGCCACACCCCAAACTCAACATTCTACAGTAGCCACACCCCAAACTCAAAATTCTACAGAAGCCACACCCCGAACTCAACATTCTACAGAAGCCACACCCCAAACTCAACATTCTACAGTAGCCACACCCCAAACTCAAAATTCTACAGAAGCCACACCCCGAACTCAACATTCTACAGAAGCCACACCCCAAACTTAACATTCTACAGAAGCCACACTCCAAACTTAACATTTTACAGAAGCCACACCCAAACTCAGCCTTCTACAGTAACCACACAAAAACCCAGCCTGCTACGATAACCACACACAAACTCAGCTTGCTTACATGCCTTAGCCTGCCCATGAAATCTGAACTGTTTCCTATATGCAATGTGCACTGATTACAGCACGCTTTATTCAGCAATTCTGCAGTGTTTTAGTACTTGACTCAAGCCCAAGTCCAAGACCATATTTTCAGGAGCGTTTGACTTTGGCCTGGACTCGGACTTGAATGAGCTGGTCTCAACCAGTCTTAGAAAATATGGTCTTGGACTTGAGTCTGTACTCGAGTACTACAGCACTGCAGTTCTGAATGTTTTAAACATGCCTTAGCCTGCCCATGAAATCTGAACTGTTTCCTATATGCAATGTGCACTGATTACAGCACGCTGTATTCAGCAATTCTGCAGTGTTTTAGTACTTGACTCAAGCCCAAGTCCAAGACCATATTTTCAGGAGCGTTTGACTTTGGCCTGGACTCGGACTTGAATGAGCTGGTCTCAACCAGTCTTAGAAAATATGGTCTTGGACTTGAGTCTGTACTCGAGTACTACAGCACTGCAGTTCTGAATGTTTTAAAACAAATAAACGGATAGAAATTGTTTTGTGATCTCTTTTTTCATCTAACTGATCTCAGAATACCTTTAAAAAAAAGATTTCAAATAAACTAAGTATATATTGATGTGTGTGTGTGTCTCAGGTGGTGAGCGCGCTGGACTCGAGCCCGACGGCTCGACGCACTCAGCTGCAGCACAAGTTTGAGCAGGTCATTGCACTGGTGGAAGACAACATCTATGAGTGCAGCAGTGAGGCCTGAGCCCACATTCATTCCCCTGACCGCTGCCTCAAAGAACAGAAGCCCTGACGTCCATATCTGATCAAAACTGTCCCACATTTACTGAACCAATGAGGATAATCAAGTGAAGTAGTGAGGGGGAAACGCCCATGTTTCACCGCTTGTTCTTGCTATGATGAGTTTAAAAAAAAGATTTAAAATAAACTAAGTATATATTGATGTGTGTGTGTGTCTCAGGTGGTGAGCGCGCTGGACTCGAGCCCGACAGCTCGACGCACTCAGCTGCAGCACAAGTTTGAGCAGGTCATTGCACTGGTGGAAGATAACATCTATGAGTGCAGCAGTGAGGCCTGAGCCCACATTCATTCCCCTGACCGCTGCCTCAAAGAACAGAAGCCCTGACGTCCATATCTGATCAAAACTGTCCCACATTTACTGAACCAATGAGGATAATCAAGTGAAGTAGTGAGGGGGAAACGCCCATGTTTCACCGCTTGTTCTTGCTATGATGAGTTTATTGATTTTCTATTGCTATAGTATTCAATTATTGACTTTGAATTAGGAGTTTGTTTAATTAATTGTGGACTCCAGGGTCCTGGGGCCCTGCAGTCATGTGACGCACTGACCCCACACTTGGGGAGAGCCAATTATGCACTGGATTATACAAGACCTTCTCCATAGCAATATTTATAGCTGTATGATAATTTCATACTGTTATTTGAATAACGTTTCTGATGGGATATTTGTGCCTGCACTGTTCAATGGCAGTCCGTTTTAAACCCACGATGCCTTGGACTACAAGTTACTATATGATTAACAAAATAGGCTTATTTGTATTAATTATTATTATTTGAAGGGTTTGGGTCTTTCTTGAATGGGTCCAAACCCATGTGTGTGCATAATTTTTGTAGATATTCTGCTGGAATTGTTTACTTTTTTGGGGAGAAAGAGGGACATTTTATCAATAAAGACAAACTTTACTAAAACATTGTGTAACAATCCCAGTTTTCTTTGTCATGGTTTTTAGTAAACATTTTTGGTTTTACATGAACTTTTATTTCTGCTTTGCCCCTATATTTTGTAATCTGCAGACAGTGTCATGTCTTTACGCATTTACATATTTTCTCATCTGAGGGATAGTAGTTAGCGTTTTCACAGTGTGTTCGGCTATCAAGGGAGTTGAAGGCACTCACACTGGTGACTGTTCACATGCACACCGCAGTTCGGTCCTGCAGTCATCAAAGAAATATAAGTAGCGGCAGACAGTCTGGCGGGATTTCTTTTCCTTTCAGACCCCATCTATTACTCCCATTTTAATGGTTTAAAATGTGAGACCTAATTCTGAGGAATTGGATGCAGTGCTTGAAACTGTAGGTGCAAGAACAATCCTAGTCATACACAAGTTAAGGATGTCACCAACTAAGATGTCCCTCCTCGTATTTTATCAGGCTAGTCGACTCTCCAAGGTTTAGCTGCCTCCCCCCAGATGCTGGGGTCTATTAGGCAGGTGGCTCCCTTTCTCGCCAAGTCTAGACAGTGACATCAAGTGTGAGGGGCTCCCTGTGAGCCTCCTTGTTAAGACCGTTAAGTCCTTATTTGTCTCAGCATGGCATAGTGGGCATTTGTTCCCCGTAACGTCTTCTCAGAAGCAGTGCGAGTTCCACTTGAAAGGGAACGTCTCGGGTTACGCATGTAATCATGGTTCCCTGAGAGGGGAACGAGACACTGCGTCTCATTGCCATGCCTAAGGCTTGCCTGTTTATGTCTCATTCAGACGAAGAAGTTGATGACATGTACTACAGGTGTCCTCTTATACTGGCGGTCACAATGACTTTAAAATCAGCATATGTTGAAGACAGTACAGCAATTACTACCTAGATGTATAATTAGTTTTTGCATTATAGTAATGAGACTAGAGAGTGAAATGTGGTCAGTGGTCTTGATAATATTATCACAATGTAAATTCTAAATGAAAACAACTATATATACATATTTAACATTTTAAGGAATATAACTAAAAAAATCTTACTTAAAATCTGTATTACTGTACGTTTGACTGTAATACATTAAAACACCTATTATAGATATGAGAATAGTGAGAATTACAATAAATAAATAAAACAACTTAAAGATAAAACATTAAGATTTGCATGAAAAATGTGAAACAAAATTTCATGAAGACAAAATAGCTCAATTTTTATAAGTGAAATGTGATCCTGACAGCACCCAAATTTGACACCAGTCTTTATTACCACAGCAATACCCACACTGTGCTTCTGATTGCTATCTGATGAATATCTCAGGAGTGTTTGTCTGCAGAGATGACGCACTCACCGCCCAGCGTGGCAAAGAAGCCTTCGATGTTGCAGCCGGTGACCCCCAGGACGAAGTATCCATGCAGGGCGGTGTAGAGGGTGACGGTGAAGCCTCCCACCACCATGAACAGGTCAGCCACAGCCAGATTGAGCAGGATGTAGTTGAGTGGCGTGCGCAGCTTCTTGTGCTGCACGGTGACGTAGAGCGTGAGGAAGTTGACGGGGAATGCAGTGATGATGAGGAAAAGCATGTACGCCGCCAGGCTAGCTGGGCTCGTCGATGGGTCTGCGGTAGTATGGACAGCAGTTGTGCTGAAGAATCAGCAGCTTGTAGTCCTCACTGTGAAACATCTGTGAAAACACCACAACAAAATACAGTCAAACATCAGAACAGAGGGCCGACCGCGTGATCGAGCGTGTGTATACCTGGAAGCAGGAAGGGCACATGGTGATGCTGCCGTCTGGCAGCAGAGAGCGGTAGTACTGCCAGCTGAGCGGTCTGGGCCAGTGCTTGATCAGAACATCTCGTCTGGACATGCACCTCAGCACGGCACGATTCACCAGCACCAGCACGAACGCACGGCCACCCTGCTGTAAACACCAGCACAGCACACTCACACACTCATCTCACACAGCACTTCAGTGACCAGGAACCCTCTCACCTCAAAGCTGAGTTGGCTGTGAACGGGTCTTCCTCTGAGTCTTCAATCCCATCATCCAACCTCAGACACTGGGATTCGGCCACACTCACACACACACATAGACACACACACAGTGTGGGCATTGTCAAGTCAAGTCACCTTTATTTATATAGCACTTTTAACAATACAGATTGTGTCAAAGCAACTGAACTGCATTAATTAGGAAAATAGTGCCAATAATGCAAAATTATAATAGTAAACACTCAATGTTCAGTTAAAGGCAGTTCATCATTGAATTCAGTGATGTCATCATCCAACTCAGTTCAGTTTAAATAGTATCTGTGCAATCAAGTCAATGATATCGCTGGAAATGAAGTGTCCCCAACTAAACAAGCCAGAGGCGACAGCGGCAAGGAACCAAAACTCCATCGGTGACAGAATGGAGAAAAATCCTTGGGAGAAACCAGGCTCAGTCGGGGGGCCAGTTCTCCTCTGACCAGACGAAACCAGCAGTTCAATTCCAGGCTGCAGCAAAGTCACATTGTGCAGAGGACTCATCTGGTTCCTGTGGTCTTGTCCCGGTGATCGTCTGAGACAAGGTCTTTACAGGGGATCTGTATCTGGGGTTCATCTAGTTGACATGGTCTCCGCTGTCTTTCAGGGCTGTAAAGGTCCTTTCTAGGTGCTGATCCACCATCTGGTCTGGATACGTGCTGGTCAGAGTTTGGGCGCTAAATGGTCAAGTCAGGTTTATTTGTACAGCGCTTTTCACCATACACATCATTGCAAAGCAACTTTACAGCAAATTAAGTTTCTACAATATTTAGTGGTAGTTTATCAGTGGTGTTTGACAGCATAGTATCCCCATCACTATATTGGGACGCTAGGACCCACCCAGAGCACAGGGTGAGTGCCCCCTGCTGGCTAACAGCAGCAGCCTAGTTTTCTCCCATCCTGGTACTGACCAGACTCAACCCTGGTTAGATTCAGTGCGTGACCAATCTTGGCCTGCAGGGTGATGTGGCTACCAATGAAACACACCATGAAACACACGTTCACACAGCGATGGGAAGCACATGTGAACTCAAACACTGATTGGTTGAAATGTATGAGGCATTAGATACTGCCAATGCCAAGATACTGGCTCCCTGTCTTCATTCTCCAGAAACACACTACTGTGTGTGCCTTATGTATCATACAACACAGTTCTTCAGTTTCTGAGTCTGAAGATGATCTCACCCATTTTTGGTAAAGATTTGACCAACACTGTGGTGAGGTTTGCAAAAAAGATACACAAATAAAAGAAAAGTGTAAAGAAAAGATATGAAGAAAACCTTTCTGCATGACATATAGACATAATAACTGTAAGTAGAGTTACATATACCATTAATATCAGCACAGAAACAAAAGCACGCCGACACTGGACTCTGGAGCAGTGGAAACCTGCTCTGTGGAGCGACCAATCACACAGTCTGACGGGGCGATTCTGGGTCTGATGGATGCCAAGAGAACGTTACCTTGGGAGAACAGCCTTTTCTATTCCAGCATGACTGAGCCTCAGTGCACTGAAGTCCATAAAGGCATTGGACTGGTTGGATGAGTCTGTCGTGGAAGAACTCGACTGGCCCGCAGACCATCCAAAAGGATGAACTCTAACGAAGATTATGAACAAGGCCTTCTCGTCCAACATCAGTGCCTGACCTCACAAATGCTCTACTGGATAAACGGACAAGAATTCCCACAGAAACACTCCAAAGTATTGGGGAAAGCCTCCCCAGAAGAGTGGAAGCTGTTATAGCTGCAAAGGGGAACCATCTCCATATTAATGTCTATGTATTTAGAATGCAATGTCATTAAAGTCCCTGCTGATGTAATGGACAGGAGTCCCTGTAGTTTTGTCCAGATAGAGCATATCAACATGCTGCAAAGATACTTCACCACTTCAGGATCGACATCCTCGGCCTGATTTGTTGATGCATTACATGGTAATGGTATTGAGTGCCAAAAAGCTTTACCTAAATGTTAATCTGCATGGGCTGAAGATGATCTGAAAAAAGCTGTAGAATGAATCTGAAAGAAACCAGCAGGTGTGTAGAACATGACATTTGAACACACCCTGAAAGCTAGAATACCCTACACCATTGTTGCACCGATTTTTCCCAAATTTTACAGTCTGGAGAATTCGGCGAATGTTGCCAAAGTTCAGAGCCAGTCTGCAGATTAGAGTTGACAGATTTCACAGAAAATCGTTTAGTGTATGATGGTCACAGATTCTGATTTTTTTTAGCTTCAGACTTTGATTCCATCCAGTCGGAGGAGATCACACATGTTTGATATTTTGAGCCGATTTTAGAATACATGTTGTTTTCATTTGTCATGCGTCTCCTAGCAACAAGGCACACATCTGAAAGACTTTAAAGTCTGGTAGTGTGTGATCCTCAGTCATTCAGTGTATGATGGCCAGTTTTTCCCAGGGATGCAAACTCATCGTGGGTGAAAAATAAAACCCTATATTTTTTAAACACTTATAATAATTTAAAGCCTTTATTATTATTTTCTAACTCTGCCAAAATTCACGTTAAATGTTCACTTTCATTCATAAAGAAGACGGGGAAAAAATTGTCTCCTGGTGGAAAACTTACCATTATATCCAGTAGATGGCAGCAGAGGATCACCCAGTTGCTCAGTTGCCATTTCAGCTCCCTAGTTGTTGCTGCTGTAGTTTTGTTACTCTGAATTTACTCTGCATCACTTAAAGCACAGCTCTGGTTTGACATCGGCTTGTCAGATAGTTTGTTCCATCCATTGCTAGAGTTATCGCCATCAATCGCAGATCAGTTTGGCGTGAAAGTTCAGAAACTGAAGCTGTAGAACTAATAGAACGTGATGACACAGAAGAACTCATCCACAATATCCACATTGACCACCACAAATATCCACCGCCCGCTGCCATCAGCTCCCGCGTCTCACACACACACACGTGCACGACTTTAGCACTAGATTTAGCAACTTTCAGATCCTTTTAGCAGCTTTTTTCCAGAGAATATTCATACTGATAAACCTGGCGACTTTTTTGGATAAACCTTAGCTATGGTTCAGTTGGAAGATGTCTCCAGTGCTGTCCTGCGAACGTGAGGTCTTCCCGGAGAAGTGTCGTCTCTCTCAGCGTCTGTTCTGTGGTGTGCGGCAGAGAAGCACCGCAGCCGACTTCTCAATAAATGAGTACAAAACAGCGTTTCCTAGCACCTGTCGCTTACTGATTGTTTGGAATTATAAATATGAGCATAGTTCGTCTGTTAATATTACATGCACTTTTTTTAGTTTGTTACTCAGACGCGTGCTGCATGAGACAAAAAAGTAATCTAGCCAAAACATCCACATAGTTGTGTCTTTAGTGTAGATGCATGTTGATTTTATCAGACAATGCTGCGATTATAAATGAGAGTGACTCCTGGGTAACATGTATTAAAAGGGGTCGTGTTTAGTCACTATTTAGTGTGGTATTTTTTGACAGTATTAACTCATCATGCCAGTAAAATAGGGCATTCTAAGTCAATATACTGCAGTATTTCCTGTCTCAGTTAGTAGAAAATATGGTTAACACCCGGTCATGTACCGTGAAACCGGTATAATTTTGAAAAATACAGTGATATACATTTTTGGTCATACCGCCCAGCACTAGTGGATTCTGACTAACCTACAGTCAAGTCACCTTTATTTATGTAGCGCTTTTAACAATACAGATTGTGTCAAAGCAACTGTACAGCATTAATTAGGAAAATGATAATAGTAAAAAACACACAATTTTCAGTTAAAGGCAGTTTATCATTGAATTCAGTGATGTCATCATCCAGCTCAGTTCAGTTTACATAGTATCTGGTATAGTTATCATAGTATCATAGTATAAGTGTCTCCAACTAAGCAAGCCAGAGGCGACAGCGGCAAGGAACCAAAACTCCATCGGTGACAGAATGGAGAAAAAACCTTGGGAGAAACCAGGCTCAGTCGGGGGGCCAGGTCTCCTCTGGCCAGACGAAACCAGCAGTTCAGTTCCAGGCTGCAGCAAAGTCAGATTGTGCAGAGGACTCATCTGGTTCCTGTGGTCTTGACACACACACACACACACACTTATGTTGGGTTTCCATGTTTTATGGGTTCATTCCATAGACATAATGGTTTTTCTACTGTACAAGGAGGCTGTTTTCTATCCTCTTACTCTAACCCTACACCTCACACAAAACTACAGGCATTTTTACATTCTCAAAACACTTAATTCTGTGTGATTTATAAGCTTGTTTCCTCATGGGGACCAAAAAATGGTATTACTATCCTTGTGGGGATGTTTGGTCCTCATAACATAGTGAATACCAGTACCACACATTAAACACACACACGTCAGTCATCATGATCTGATCAAAACCACCTAAATTCACTCATATGGCAAAAAATAAATAAATAAATAAAATGAAATGTTGGAAATATATCTGTTTTAAACCATGAAGGCGAGCCAATGGATATCACATAAGCAATGTGCAAATTTCGTGCAAGAGTTTTGCCGGTGAGCGTCTTAATCTCAGTCAATTCACTATAGAGAAAGTAAAAACGGAATGATGGAGCTTTCATCATCTGACGCCGCATATTCTTTCATAGACGACGAGAGACAAACCTACTTCAACATATGCTGATAACGGTATACCGTTTTCATTTATTCCCTTAATATTTCTCTTGTGGCCCGTACATAGTGAAAAAAAAGACAATAAACGTATTTTGTGTTAAACAGGTTGTTTTTGAAAGTTGGTGCTTGAA